ATAAATAGAAAGAAATTAATTGGCCAACTGATATATATATATAAAAATTAGCCGGGCATGGTGGCGCATGCCTATAGTTCCAGCTACTCGGGAGGCTGAGGCAGAAGGATCGCTCGAGCCCAGGAGTTTGAGGTTGCTGTGAGCTAGGCTGACGCCACGGCACTCACTCTAGCCTGGACAACAAAGCGAGACTCTGTCTCAAAAAAAAAAACAAAAAAACAAAAAAACAAAAAAAACTTCCAATGATGAAAAATACAATACCTGAAATGAAAATGTCACTGGATAGGATAACAGTAGACTAGACACTGGAAAAGAAAAGGCCTATGATCCTGAAGCTCATGGCATAGCAATAAAACCTACCCAAACTAAAGCACAGAAAGGAAAAAGGCTAGAAATAAAGTAAACAGAGGATCATTGATCTGTGAGACAGTATTAAGAAGATTACCAAAATGAAAAAATATTCACAATAGCCAGAAAGTTTCAAATTTGAAAGAGACTATAAACTCACAAATTAAGAAGAAAATGAACCTAAGGCAGGTGCTATAGTCTGAATGTTCATGTGTCCCCATTCCATCTTCCTATGTTCAAATCCCCTAACCTCCAAAGTGATGGTATTAGAGGGTAGGGCCTTTGGGAGATGATTAGTAATGGGATTAGTACCCTTATAAAACAAGGCACAAGAGAGCTCCTTTGCTCCCTTCCACCATGTGAGATTAGAGTGAGAAAACAGCTGTCTATGAGGAAGCAGGCCCTCACTGGACACCATATCTGCCAGTGCCTTGATCCTGGACTTCCCAACCTCCAGATATAAATGTGAGGTATAAATTTCTGTTGCTTATAAGCCACCCAATCTGTGATATTTGGTATAGCAGCCCAAATGGACTAAGACAGTGGACAAATACAAAGAAATCAACAAGATGCACTGTAATTGATTCCTTAAAAACAACAGTAAAGAAAAAAACTTAAAAAGCATCCAGAATAAAAAGGAAGACTAGATATAGAAGAAAAAGGATTAAAAAATACTACAAAAATTTTTTTATGTAAAAGGCAAGCCAGAAGACAATAGAATGACATTTTAAAGTGCAGAAAAAGAACTATGAACGTAAAAATCTGTATCTAGCCACTAACCTAGCCAAATGTGGCTACTGAGCACTTAAAATTTGCCTAGCAAGACTGAAGAAATGAATTTTCAACCTGATAAAATTTTAATTAAAAAACTTAAAAGCTATATACAGTTTCCATATTGAATAGTGTAAAAAAAAACGCTAAAAAACAGGAAAAAATTGATACGCTAGATAAAAAAGCAAACCCAAATATACACTGCCTTTAAGAAATACACTTTCAATATATAAGAAATAGATGAGTTAAAACTAAAAAAATAAAAAATATATAACATGAAAATACAAAGAAGAAAGCTGAAAAGGGTTTAATGTGAGACAAAGCAGACTTTTATAGATAAGAGTATTACCAAAAATAAAAAGGAACATTTCATAATAATATAATGGTCAATTCATCAAGGAAATATAACAATCCTAAATATGTATATACCTAATAAAGCTTCAAAATACATAATACAAAAACTGACAAAACTGAAAGCAGAAATAGACAAATCCACAATTACAGTTAAAGATTTTAACACTGTTCTCTCAGTAATTGATAAGACGAATAAACAGAAAATCATAAGAATACAGGAGACTTAACACTATTAACCAACTTTCACTAACTGGTGTTTATAGAACACTATACCTAACAACAGCAGAACACATATTCATTTCAAATACACATGAAATTTTCACCAAAATGGATCATATGCTATTCTTAGCTTTCTAGGCTGTATTTAAAAAAAAAAAAAAAAAAGATAGGCCATAGGCTAGAACATAAAATAAGTCTCAACAACTTTTTTAAAAATGAAATTATACAGAGTATATTCTATAACAATAGCAGAATTAACTTCAAAGTCAACAACAAAAAACCCAGTAAAATCTACAATTATCTGGATATTTTGAAACCTACTTATATATAATTCATGAATTTTAAAAAAGTAAAAAAATATTTTGAATAGGATGTCATAAAAATATACAACACATAAAAATTACGTGGAGATAAAACAGTGCTAAAAGAAAACCTTAGAGATTAAATATTCATTAGAACAGAAGGAAGACTTAGAATCAATGACCTATGCATCCACCTTAGGAAGCTAGAAAAAAAAGAGCAAATTAAACACAAAATAAGTACTAGGAATGAAATAGCAAATATAGTTTAAGTCAATAAGATAGAAAATACATAGAGAAAAAACAATGAAACTAGAAGGTAATTCTTTTGAAAAGTCTAATACAACTGATAAACCTCAGGCAAGACTAACCAAGGAATGAAACAGAAAACAGAAATTACCAAAATCAAGAATGAAAGAGGGGACATCAATACAGATTCCAGACATTAAAAGGACAAATGAAATATTACAAACAACTTTATGGCAATAAACTTGACAATTGCAATGAAATAAATTCCTTGAAAAACCCAAATTATTTATACTAAAACTAACTCAAGAATAGAAAATATTTAATATAGCTACTAGAGGAATTAAATTTTTGGTTAAAAACTATTCCACAAAGAAAACTCCAAGACCAAAGGGTTTCACTGGTGAATTTTAACAAACATTTAAGGAAGAAATCACATCAATCTTGCACAAATTCTTTGACGAAACAGCAGAAGAGGAATATATTTTAATTCATCTGTGAGGCCAACATTACCTTTATGCAAAAATGCCAATATCCCTCATGAACACAGATGAAAAAAAATCCTCATAAAATAGTTAACAGATCAAATCCAGAAATATATGTATTATATAAAGTATATGTATATAAGCATATCAACAAATGTAGTTCTCCCAAGAATGCATGTTGGTGAAACATTTGAAAATCAAAGCAATGTAATTCTCCATGTTAGCTGAATAAAAGAGAAAAATCATGTGATCATATCAATAGATGCAGAAAAAGCATTTAATAGAAAGAATTCAATATTCTTTCAAGATATAAACTCAAAAAACTAGAAATAGAAGGTAATTTCATGTATGAAAGGGCATACATTAAAATCTCACAGCTAAGATCATGCCTAAAGGTGAAAGACAAAATACCTTCCACCTAAGATAGGAAACAAGGCAATGATGTATACTCTCACCACTCCATCCAACACTATATTAAAGTCCTAGCTACTGAAATAAGGCAACGAAAAAAAAATAACAAATAAAATAAAAGGCACAGAGATTGAAAAGAAAAAAGTAAAAGTCTTTATTCACATATGCCATAATCATGATACCTAAAAATCCTAAGAAATCTACCCAAAAAGCTGCTAGCATAGTATTTGTGAATTTACCAAGGTGAAAAAGATACAAGCTAAATATACAAAAAGCAGTTGTATATTTATATACTAGCTGCAAACACATTTTTTAAAACTCTAATTATAATAGCACTCCAAGAAAACAAAATAGAAAAAAGTACAACAAAAGACATATAAGACCTCTACAATGAAAATTCAAGAACATTGTGAGAGAAATTAAAGAACTTAAAGGGATAGAGAAATACATCATGTGCATGATGAAGTGAAAGACTATTTTAAGATGTCAATCTCCCAAAATTAATCTACTGAAACAAAACAATTCTGATCAAAATACCAGCCGACATTTTTGTTGAAATTAATAGGCTGATTCTAAAATTTATAAAGAAATGCAAATAACTCAGAGTAGCCAAAACAATTTTCAAAAAGAACAAAATCAAATAACTTTCACTACCTGATTCCAAACTTACCCTAAAGCTCCAGTAATTAACATAGTGTATTTTTTTTTTCAGACAGAGTCTCGCTTTGTTGCCCAGGCTAAAGTGAGTGCCGTGGCGTCAGCCCAGCTCACAGCCACCTCAAACTCCTAGGCTCCAGCAATACTGCTGCCTCAGCCTCCCGAGTAGCTGGGACTACAGGCATGTGCCACCATGCCCGACTAATTTTTTTCTATATATATTAGTTGGCCAATTCATTTCTCTCTATTTATAGTAGAGACGGGGTCTTGCTCAGGCTAGTTTTGAACTCTTGACCTCGAGTAATCCACCTGCCTCGGCCTCCCAGAGTGCTAGGATTACAGGTGTGAGCCACCGCGCCCAGCCAACATAGTGTATTTATGAGAAACATGTAGCTCAATGGAGCAGAATAGAGAGATAGTGTATTTATGAGAAACATGTAGCTCAATGGAGCAGAATAGAGAGTCATATGCTCCACTGATTTTCAGCAAAGGAGCCAATGAAATTTAATAGGGAAAAGTTAGCCTTCTCAATAAATGATGCTAGAACAAATGGAAATTCATATGGGAAAAAAATAAACTTTGCCACTTATACTATAAACAAAAATTAAACACTATGATTTATTAATAGATCATAGATAAGCAAAAAAGGGAAGCTATAAAACTTCTAGAAAAAAAACAGGAGAAAATCAGGTGTGATTGAGTTGTGAAAAGATTAGGACACCAAAATCACTAAGTAAAAAATAATAATAAATTAAAAATAACTGATAAATTAGGCTTCACAAAAGAAGACACAGAATGGCCAATAAAGACTTAAAATGATTTATATCATTGTTCTTCAGGGAAATACCACATGAGATACCACTAGACATGCAGCAGAATGGCTAAAAATTACAATGAGTCACAATATCAAACACTAGCAAGGATGTGGTATTCATCTTTCTTTTCAGTTTCCCTAGACATTTCATCCATTCTAATGGCTCTAACTAGCAATGATTCCCAAATCATATCCCCATCTTCTTAAATGTTCTCTGAAACCCAAGATCCACATTTCCAATATTTCCTGTACATCTCCAAGTAGATGTCTCACAGATATTTTCATATCATAACTAGTAATATCTTGAGTTCTTATACATTTTTAGTTCCCATATATTATTCTTTCAAATAAAAATTTCTCAAATAGCTGCTCTGATTAATTTTAGTACATACTTACTGATGAACTATCAGCTGACTCATCGTTTTTTTCATATTTTTGTTTCTTGTTCTTTTTTTTCTTCTCTTTCTTTACTTTTTTTGAATGCTTGTCTTTTTTCTTCTTTTTCTTCACAGAATGTTCCTATAATCATTTTGAATAGGCAAGAAAGGAATTTAGTTTTACCTTTCTTCAGTAGGAAGCATTTTGAAGGAAAAAAATCCACATTCTAAAAAGCTTTAAGTCTTTCATGTAATGAGACAAAGAATATGTCTAAGTAAATAAAATCTTCTAAGAAACCTTAACATGCCTTCTATATAAACTACTAATAAATCATATAGCTGAGACTCCTTACCAGAAAAATATGTTTATTTGTAGATTCATGACAGATATAATCAAATAAATACATATATATTCATAAATATATATACGTTTACATACATATACACACACACATACAGACACACAATATCCGTCTATGGTCCCCCAAAAAATCTTTATACAAGATTATTAAGCCATAAAAAATATAACAAGATAGTATGAATTTAAATTGTAGGAAGAGGCTGGAGGGAGCAGGAGGGATGGAGAAAGGGAAGATATGGATCAAAGAGTACAAAGCTTCAGTTACACTAGAGAAATAAGTTTTAGTGATCTATTGCATGGTGACACAATTAATAATATTGTATATTCCAAAACTGCTGAAAGAATAGACTTTTAATGTTCTCACCACAAAAAAAGATAAGTTGGTGAGGTGAAAATGTTAATTAGCTTGATTGAATCTCACAATAATATGTACATAGATCAAAACATCACACTGTACCCCATAAATAAACACAATTATTTGTCAATTAAAAATATTTTTTAAAAAAATTGTAGGAAAACAGGCTTGAAACCTAAAAAAAAAAAAAAAATCAAAGACAAAAAGCTTAAAATGCATAATTTTTTAAACCCATAAGCTTGCTATAAATGAACCAGACTGTAAAGCTAAGTCTTCTACCAGCTCAAGTAACAAAATCATTCCAATATCATAATGTTCAAAATATTACAATATATCACTTCTGCCAAAGAGATAAAACCAGTCAGTAATGCCAACTATGTGATAATCATTCTGTAACTCAGGTAAACAGTCCATAAAGTTGTTCTTCCAATATTATAATAACTTGAATAAGTGCAAAAAAGGTATGTTTACATCAAGTAAATCTGTTAGTATTCACCTGAGAGAATTGTTCAATTCGCTCATTCACATCAGGTAGCATCCATGTATCTTCACCCCGAAGTCGCTTAAGTTCTTTACGTCTTTCTTCTTTTTCAAAATTGGCTTTAGCCTACAACAATAAAAACTGGCAATTGATCCAACTGGTTTTCACACACACACAAAAAATGGAAAACAAAAACCTACCCCACTTTTACATAAAGGCATCTACTCATTAACCAACAGACTATTCCTTGCCAAGAACTTGCTTCTACCAAGTGTTGAAAAGATTTAAAAACAAAACCTCTTATTCCACATTACCAATAACATTATTAATCTCCAGTGAATTAAGCCACCAATCAGGGACAGAATCCTAGGACCTATTCCAAGCCCTCCGCTCTCTCTAAGCTCCAACCTAAAATATGATTTGGAAGCCCTTTTCCCTTCACCATCCCAGTGGCCTTAGACTTTCGCAAGTTACAAGACTTACATCTATGCCATCAAATAGGCAAAGCCTGTACCCCAATACCCAGCCCCCAAAATGCTTCAGGAAGAATCATCTTTCTAAAAAGAAATTATCAAATTACTAATTTTTATTCATCCTTCACCAATGGTCAAATAAAGTAAGTGTTTCTTAGGAAATTGTTCCTGACCTCTTTCTTATTCTTCCTCCTAATCTCCAAAGCTGGGTGTGGTCCTTCTCAAACTTTGTGCTTATCTCTCCTATAAGATTTATCACCGCTTACTAACCCTACTTCCAAAAACTGCTTGAAACACCAAAGAGACAAGGATGAACATTTATTATACATATACATTATCTATGTTGAAATCAAGGAACAATACCAACCTTTCACCTATCCAAGACTAATCGCCCACTCAACCCCTTTAAATCTGACTCTAGTCATTTCCACTTCTCTTTCCAGTTTCCTCCACCTACCTCTTCGCTACTGCCTCCTTCTCATCTGCATTTAAACTCGTTTAAAACTCTTCCATTTTAAAACAAACAAAACAAAAACCCTCACTGTGTCCTATGTTGCTCTCCAAACTACAACTTTTCCCTTTCATTGCCACACTTCTTACATCTTGAATAGCTTATCAGATAATTCAATACAGTTTACTTCCTCTGCTCTTTATATGTTACCTCTATGCATCTCAAGCTTAGTGAGAAATATGTTTCTCAACCTTTGGTGAGAGGCTAAATTTCCTGGGTCTCTTGTGTTAACTCTTGTTTGGATCAGGACCGGCTTACAGTTAAGTCTGGAACTGATACTAATAATAAGACGAGAGAATGAAAAGTCAAGCTGAGTCTACTCAAATGCAACTGACATTTGTTCCTGAAAAGGTAAAATTTCATTTTACATACAGCAGAAGCAATGACTGAGACTGTGAAACACGCAGAGTCCTTACAAGTGGTAGGGTAGCTAAAAGGTGTGCAGTCCGGGTGACAGAAATGCAAAGAATAGATGATTTAAAAAGGAAACTTGGAAAAAAAAGAAAGATATCCCAGAAAGGAGAATGAACAACTGAAAGCTGCCACAGCATCTAGAAGACGAGAGATACACAAGAATTTATCGGCATTGCAAAGGGAGATTTCACCCAAATAAAGTGAGGTACAGTGGTTAAGGGAAGGGGTGGGTAAGCCAGCTTCCAGGAACCCTCAACTTCCACAACGCCAAATAACTACAAAAGTCACAAAACGGAGGTACCTGGCGCAACACCTCAGCCCTGGCAATCCGGGTCTGTTCTTTCCGCTCTTCAATACTCTTCGCACTTTCAAATCTACCACTGGCAGCCGCCATAGTTGTTGTCACCGTAAAGCTAGGAAGCCGTCGTGCAATCTTAGTTTACGACAGTCGTAATTTAATAAACAAACCGGGACTTCCGACCAGGGAGAGGAGGGGCTCTGCGCCACCAATGGAGCATGCGCAGACCTCAGTGTCGCGTAAGGTTCCAGTGATAATTCCAGCTCCAGGTTTTCGGCGAGACTTGGAGACCAGCGAAAGATTTATAGTTTCGCGTATTGAGTTCACTGTGAGTGGAAGTAATATCAATTTACGTATGTTATGCGGTTTGCACTATACTAACAACTTTCTCACAAATTTAACCTAAGTCAGAAGCTCCTAGAGGTTAATTAAGTTCATGCGTGTTAAAGTTTTGCGCCAAAGTTCCCTTTCTTACCAAAGGCTGACTTCCCTGTACTGGACGAATGGACTGAAGCTGGCCAGAAGGTCAAAGTTGCATTGAAGATTAAGTGTTTCACTTTAGTGGATTTTTTTTTTTAATATATGAAATAGTCATGTGAATTTTGCATTGTATTTCATGATTTATCTGTGCTTATTTTGTTAGAATTTTACATTATTTTTTCTCTAACCTCATATTATTTTCTTATACTATCCATCCAAACATTTTTTTATTGCAATGGGCAATTACATATTTATTTGGGTGGGGATTTCCTTGTTTTCTTTTATGTATGTATCTCCCAAACATAGAACTTTTAAGTGCCATGAAGAATAAGACATTCTAAAATATTTATCAAGTGCTTTGAGAATGTAAAACACAAAACTTAACATTTATAGTCATAAAGGTAAAGAAGAAATCTGGAGAATAATTATAAACTAGATATTTTAAAGACACTAAAAATAATTAATGTAAGTCAGGTTGATGTAAATATTCTTTCTTTTCATCTTTCATAAAATCGAATGTGTGTTTGCAAGAAGCTTTCCCAGGAGTTTCTAATTTAACTATCATTCTATGAAAGTCTTAATCTTTAGCACATAATATTTACTTCTTTGCTGTACAATAGAATGTACTCGTATTTTTGTTATAGAAAATTGAATTTTAATTTACCTATTGACCTTGTAATCTCTAACTAACTGACTGCCTTGACTGATTTTGTTGTAATTAACTAACATTTAAGTCTTTTCAGATTCTCTTGGGATTCAGAAAAACATCCATTCCCCCCTTTGCGTCAATTACAGGACAAAAAAATATAAACAGTGATTATTACAGAAACCTGTGTTTTAATTCATTCAGACAGCTATAACAAGACTATCATAGACTGGATGGCATATAAACATTTATTTCTCACAGTTTTGAAGACTAGGAAGTCCCAGCATAAGGTGTGGGCAGATTTGCTGTCTGGTGAGGGTGGGTCCTGGTACATAGATGGCAAGTCATTTGCTCTGTCCCATGTGGCAGGAGGGGTGAGGGATCTCTCTCTCTAGTGCCTCTTTTATAGGGGCATTAATCCCATTCAAGAAGATGCTGCCCTCATGAACCAATCACCTCCCAAAGCCCCTACCTTCACATAGCTTCACAATAAGGAATAGGTTTCAACACAAGAATTTGGGGGGAGCACAAACATTCAGTCTGTAGCAATGTATAAAGTTACATGAAAAAGGTTTAAAATTTTTACATAAGGCTCAAAAGAAGACTAGAACAAATGGAAAAGTATACCGTGTCCTTAAAGAAGACTCAACATCATAAACAGTCAACTTTCCTTAAATTAATTTGTAAATGCAATGCAATACAAATAAAATTACCAACAACAAAAAAATGTTGGGGTCAGAGAGGAGAACCAGGCATGTTAAAATAGGAAAAAAAAAAAAAAAAGTTGTTTTGGCTAGATTTGCATTTGGCCACACCTAAAAAAATCCAATCACATGGTTTAATCAAATAAGAGGTGATGTATGAAGGAGCCTAAAGGTAGCTGATCCAGGATTGGTGCAGTTGCTGAAGGAAGCTGATTGTTTCTCCTTTTCTACTTTGTTGCAGTCTTTAGTCTTCATAGTCACAAGCAAGGAATCACATTCTTCTGTGTCTGTTCATGGCATCTATTAGACACAAGCATAAAGGGAAAGAACAAAGAGTAAAAGGTATATGCCAGCTCAGCTGATCCCATTTTCTATTAGAAAAATGATGGTTTTTCCTAAAGCCTAGTCCAGTTTTTCCCTGTAAATCTTATGAGCCAGAAGTAGGTTACATGGTCACAACTAATTACAAAAGAGTCAAGAAGATTCCAGTTACATCATGAAATGCCACTCAACTTGGTTTTTTCTGATGTTTCTTTGTGATTAGCTTCGAGTTAGGCATTTTGAGCAGAACTATCACAGAAGTTGGGCTGTCTTATAGCATCCTACTGGGTAGCACATGATTTCCATTTATTCCAGTGCTGGTGATGTTAATTCTGGTCGTGTAAATAAAGTGATGTCTGCCAAGCTTCTTTGCTGTAAAGTACCCCTGTTCCTTTTGTAAATAATATGTATTTTGTGAAGTGGTTTTTGAAACTATATAAATTCTGTATCAAATTTTCAAGTTTTTTAATATCAGTATCAAATATTTGAATTGCTTATTTATATCACATGGACTCATGATTTCTCAGTGGATTCCTGTTTTTGTTCAGTTGGATACTATTAAGTTATTTCAGTATTTCTTCTGATGCTCAAATTGTCCCAGGTTAGGCCAGTGAGAACCCCTTCAAGCTGGTTTCTGTGTCCTTTAGACATATACCCATATTCTTTGAGCATTTCCTTTCTGGTACAAGAAGATAATGGATGTTCATCTTGTATAATACTTTCTCTACGTAAGCCCTGGAATCAGCATTTTTTTCCAAGAATACTTGGTTTCATTTGGTCTAAAATGATGTTTAGAAGTTGTCAAATAAAAAACAAATCTGGACTTAGGTAAAAGACTTTATTCAAAAAGACTATTGCAGTATGGGGAGGAAGACCATTATAATAGGGAGAACATTCTGAAACTAAGATTTATAAGGGTCTCAAAGGTTGGGAAAAAAAGAGCTTTTCTTTTATAGGCTGTAGTAAACAAGGCCTCGAAAGACCCAGGTTTGAGGGAATGGGATGAGCAGGCAGTGTGACATTTTCCAAGAACACAGTGACAGTAGCCATTTCCCAGAACACAAAAGGATATGGAGATTTCTTGATGGTCATTTTCTAGGAGCATAAAGTTCAAGTAAAGTTCACAATTATCAAGGCCAAGATCTGGTCACTAAGTATGCTCATTAGTATCAGAATGTTGCTGCTCCAGGTCTTCTCAATGGGCAGAGATAGGGAGACAGATATATAGATATAGATAAAGTTATAGATATATATAACTATTTCTGTATCTACCTCCATGCACTAAAAACCATGAGTTCATACAGATACCTCCAGTTCTAACTCAATACCACAGGATTCATTCTAGTTTTTTCATTTCCATATTTGTAAATCCATACTCTAACAGGTATAAACCTAATTCCCATTATCCTTAGTATATTAACTGATTTGATCAGTTATCCAATATGTAACCGATTTTCTATTGCCATCAGCACTCCTTCCCTTGATAGATGTCCTCCTTAACCCACTGAGGTCTTAACCTGTCCTAGGTTACCCCATTCAGGATCTGACACCCTAAACAGGACTACCACCCCACACAACTACATGTCTCACCCTGCCTGGTCTCTGATGCTGAAGTTCCAGGTGCCACTCACACCACATAGGCACCCTTCACACCCCCAACTCACCAACCTGGATGCATACCTTGCTCAGTCCACTAAATGATTTTGTCATTGAAGGAACTGGAAGATAAAGACAAAGATTTAATTCTCTTTTAATCTATAAAAATGTTCACCTGATCTCCCATTTTATTTTTGTGCCATTTATGTATTGAAGAAACTGGGTCCCTTTTGTTTTTAGATATCTCACATTCTGAGTTTAGCTTATTGCATCTTTTTTTTTTATTTTAACATTTCTTTATCCCCTATTTCCTATAAACATAGTTAGATGTAGAGATTTTATTAGATTCAGGTTCAATATTTTTTACAAAAATACTTCTGCATCCCTGTTTTTGTTTTGTTTTGTTTTGTTTTTTGAACAGAGTCTCGCTTTGTTGCCCAGGCTAGAGTGAGTGTCATGGCGTCAGCCTAGCTCACAGCAACCTCAATCTCCT